TCAGGATTAATAGTCCTAACACATGTGGGGAGGGGAGCTGCTGTGGGATATCTTTGTGTATGTTGTGGATATGTGTTGCACCCATTGCCTAATAAACAAAGGTGACTTGACCTATGGCAAGAAAGCTTACAGCCGGGCAGGAAATCCAAGTAGAGATACAAAGAAAGGAAGGGTGGAGTTAAGATGCCAGCCTGCCCCCAAAGGAGCAATAAGATACCAGCAGACTGATAATGTCACAGCCATGTGGCAACAAATTGATTAATAGGAATGGGTTAATTTAAAATAAAAGAGCTAGCTAGCCAGAAGTCTGAAACATAGGCCATACACTTTGCAATTAACATAAGTCTCTGAGTGATTATTTTAAAAGTGGCTGTGGGACAATGGGTGGGAGAAATTCTTCCCAACCCTGGGCTGGGCAGGACCAGAGAAACTTCTGTCTGCAATTGGTGCCTAACGTGGTAGCAAGAATTTCCACCCAAAACTTGAGACAGCTTTAAAAAAAGATTTGAAAATGTTACAAAAACCAGCTTCCTAGTTGTGTATCCCAGGCAAGCCATGATACAGAAACTCTGTAGCATGCAGGCTTGAACTGCAGTATGGCAGATACCTGCTGTAGTACACAGAGTTATCTCCAAGCCATGCAGTATACTGCATGGTGGATTTAGCTTTTGCTAGTACAGAAAACAAAAGGTTTTTGGGCTACACACTGCTGGATGGAGGCATAGACCCACTCTTCCCAGAGTTGGTGGTGACCATGACTCCCAGAGCTGCTAGTAAATGTACCTGCACCATATTGGGAAGCTGAGGTGGGTGGAGCCAGCAGCTGGAGCTGCTGCTTTGACCCAAGCCATGCTTCAGTTTACCTCAATGGTCAAAAAATGATTGCAGATACACACAATAGGACAGATTCAGATGGAAAAATTTTCTAAACAGTTTACAATATATGTAAAAAGATATGTAGACTTGAGAGAGAGAAGAGAAAGGATATCAATAGTCATAAAAATAAAATAAAGTCTTTAAAATAATATATAAAATATTTAATAAGTCATGTAAAGATGGAAATTACACAGAAAGTTTGGATTCTGTTGTCTTTAGGATTTTTAACTGGACAGAGACATTTAATTGTAATGGCTACTAAGTTAAACCAATATGTATATTTTAAAGGTATCTTGACTTCAAAATTTGTGTCTAAGGATATATTGCTTTGGAAAAGGGGATTTGCTTTTGTTTCTACAGAAGATGAGAACCTATGGATTGCTTCCAGGCTAATATGGTTTGAACAATCAAGACCCCCTGAAAGGTTGGTGCAGCCTCACAGACTACTACAACCAAGATTTAACTATAATTTTTAATTTTCTCAGGATCCCCATAAGATTGCCAGCACCCCCAATCAGCAGGAAGTATTATGAGAAGCTATGCCCAAATTCCCAAAATATTGTTTAAAATGTTTATTTTTATTTAAAGGGGGTTGATTATAAATTCAATCTCTACAGAAGAAAAGGGGATATAGATATGATAGGATCAAAGAGTAGATTATTGAATCTATTTTTAAAAAGCAACAACTTGTTTGAAGTTTTTCACATTGCTACAGATTTTAGTTTATTGCTACAAATTTAAAGTCAATTTTGAAATACTATATATTTTTTACTCTTGCTTAAGGTATTATTTTGATGCAACTCATTTAAAAAATGTAATTATAGTTAAGGAATAAAAATTAGCCATGTGGTGGTGGCACACACCTTTAATCCCAGCACTTGGGAGGCAGAGTCAGGCAGATCTCTGTGATTCTGAGGCCAGCCTGGTTTACAGCGCAAGATCCAGGATAGGCACTGAAACTACAGAGAAACCCTCAAACCAAAAACCAAAAAAAAGAAAGAAAGAAAGAGAGAGAGAGAAAGAAAGAAATGCAAATTAATAGTCATGTTAGTTAAGTTTTTTAGTTATACACAGATATATTTTAAATTAGGTTGGTAATCTTCAAACACTTCAAAGACTTATAGAATATGGCATTTAAAAATGTTTTAAAAATCTTGACTTTTCTAGATAGTGAGATATGTCTGCTCCTGGCAGCACTGATTTACTTAAAAGAGGATGATGGGCATCAAAGAAACTCCATATAGAGTTTGCTTTCTTTATGGCATAAGTTAGCCATTTGGGCAAGAAACTGCTCTTGCCTGGACTGCTTGAGAGTATGTTGTATAAACTAGATATGCAGAACCTATAAGAAGATGACCACTGAGGTTTGCAAGGTGAGATAGTCCTTGAGGTTCCTGCTTCACAGAAGAAACTGCCAGACATTCTATAGGACACGAAGAAGTGACTGACAAATTTGCCAAAATGGGCAGAATAATGCTTCAAATTTTCTGCTTCACTAAAAAGTCAGCCTGAGATTCTAGGCCTGTAGGCTGAAGATGAATGCACCAACATTGCAGAGGAACATTGGATGACTATCCAGGCAGCCAACTGTTTCTGTCATTTCCAGAACTTTGGAAGTTGCTTAAAATGCACTTCCTGTTTACTTAGATACTATTATATCCTTCTGGCGTCTTAGATGTAGTTGAAGACTAAATAGTTATAGTTATAATTTTCCTTGATTATGATAAAAGATAAATTAGATATAAATCTTTAGACTCACAAATATAGGACAGATGACAAATATTTTCTTTAATTTTTGCCAAATACAAATAGACTAGATATTGTAATTCTTGCATGATAACTGTTCTATTATATGTAATTTTACTATGTTAAAGTTAAAACCTTCCTTTTTGATTAGACAAGTGGCTTTCTATGAATTCATGCCTCAAAAGATGGACACCAGGTGAATTGTGAACCTAATTAGTCTTATCAATAAAACCCAAGAGTCAGATATTGGGGTAATAACCTAAAAGATCAGAGGAGCAGACACTAGTGACTTTTTACCTCTCTAGATCCTCCAAATGAAAGGGCTGAGATCCTGTCTACACCCGTTTCCATCACTTTCTCTCCCCACCTCCCAAGTGCTGGGATTAAAGGCATGAGTTTCCTAAATGCTGGAATTAAAGGGTAAGCCTCCCAAGTACTGGGATTAAAGTCATGATCCTCCCAAGTGCTGGGATTAAAGTGGTGACCCACCACCATCCAGGTTCTATGGTTAACTAGTGACTGACTCAGCCCTCTCATCCCCAAGCAACCTTGTCAGAACACAAACAAAGTATCACACAACTAGTAATAATCAAAGAAATCATGGGCCAGGACTCATGCTTTAAACACTCTAGTACTCTGTTTTGCCAATAACAGAAAATGGTGTTTGTGAGATTGTTCTTCCAAATTGTAAATATTTGCTTGAAGTACATTGATGTTTCACCTTTGGAGATATTAGTTTTAACCAATACACAATGTTTCACTCTTTTATGGTAAAGGAAATAATACCTATTATGATCAGTAAGAAATTATTTTATGTTTGCAATGATTAATGACTGAATGTACATCTGTAGCACAGTGAAGAACAATAATGTATACCTTTTATAACCAAAAGCAAGATAACAATTTTTTTAAAGAAAAATTATGTAATTTCTGTTGAACACATAAAGCAATGTGTTTTATTCTAATTCCTTTACGAGCCATAAGTGCTTTGGGAAAAATAAAATATTCCCATTTTAAGTGTGCTTCTATGTGTGAGAGAGAATGTCTTCCATGCTTATGTAAGTGACACCTGAAAGAAGAGGTGTCAGATCCCCTGGATCTGGAGTTGCAGATAGTTATGACCCCCACAACTTAAGCACTGGGATCCAATCAAAGGTCATCCCAAAGAAGACTGTGTGCTGGGCCACTCGTATATCTTCAAAGTAATTTTTATCCAATATACTAAATCTTTCACATGTTATCAAAAATTAAAAGAACTAAATAAATGGTGAAATAGCCAATGATCATTGTGAACAAGATGAATCAATATTATGATGTCAGGTATGTTCAATTTGCAACATGAATTCAACACACTCAAGAAAAACTAATGATTTATAAAAGAAAAGCTGATTCTAAGCCTATATGGAAAGCAGAAAAACTTGGAATGCTCAATAGGATTGTGAAGAAATAATACTGTGACACAGTTTGACTTCTACACAAAGTACAATACCAGAACAACAACAACAAAAAAGGATGATATATTTGTCAAAAAAAAAACTGATGGAGAGAAAAAGTCAAGAAAAAAAGCATAAAACTATAGTGAAGTTTCAAACAAAGGACCAAAGGAAGCTCAGCAAGTAAAATTGTGATCTTGAGACATGTTACCCAAGTTCCTATGATTCTATAGGAATATATGAAGTCTAAGAACATATGTGTAGAGATTAAGTACACAAAGGCTTCTCAACTCCTACAAAACTGACTTAAACTGATCCTAAACTGTTAGGTTACTGGCCCTCCAGCTGGTGATCTTCCTGCCACCATACAGGCCCCACTCTCTAGAGCTTTTTCTGGACATAGAGGAGATCAGAGAAGTCTGCTGTGCCTCTGCCAACTCCCCTATTTTCTCTTTGGATTCAACAAATGCAGCCACACTGATGCTTGTGAGAAATATTAAATATGAATCTTTTCTATCAAAGACTATGAAAATTGAGTTTAAAATATGAAAGTCAAATCATAATACTTCCTCCATTCAGTAAAATATTGTTTATTTCAGGACCCAATCCTAAATTATAGGAATTTCATGGCCTGAAGAAGTGACTGACTCTCCATTCTAGGAAGCAGTGCATATTCCTCCTTCCTTCATACTCATGTAATGAATAAGACTGTGAAGTCTGACTCTAGATATTGGGGAAAAGATGCAGACAGCACTTTCCTTAGGATAAAATCAAGTGCAGTTCCTATCTAGGTAAGATCCCCTTTCACCAGCACACCCTCCTGAGCAAGAGAAAAGTTTGTCTCATCCAGACACTTATTTCTAGCAATTCACAGGTTAGTCTAAGAACATAGCTTATGCAAGGAGCCACCTCAGATGGCCTCACAAGATAAATGCTTCCCAACAGCTTCTGTAGCAGCCCGGTGACTCTGGAACTCTGCAGTTCAGCAAAAGAACCCCAGGGATGGAAGTCTCTGAATATCACAGTGACAGTGGTACAACAAAATTACCAGGGAACACATGACCAATTTGTATACAGACTAAAAGTAAGAAATGCTATGGGAAAGAGAATACTACTCTTTTGGTGGTCTGGTTGTCCAAGGGTTGAAACTTGTGTTTGACATGAAATTTGGGTACAAGCAATCTCCATAAATGGACACTAAGCACAATGTAAACCAAGATGGGAAGACAATCTAGGTAAAAAACAAAACAAAACAAAACAAAACAAAACAAAAAAACTCTAAAGAAGAGGAGCGACAGAAAGAGACAAAGAAACTGAAGAAAGAAAATATTTCCCTTAAGGAGAAGGGGGCCAAGTTCTCAGGCTGACCTACAGGCTCCCTTAATATAATCTGCCCGACCCTGACGAAGGATATTGGACAATGAGAGACTTCAATCTTGGGTTTAAGTCCCTATCTTTCCTCTGCATGCATGGCATTATCCACTGTATCCCTCCCCACCCAGTTCACTGAGAGAATCTGTGAAACATTGAATCAGGTCTGGTGGAAGGAACAAAGCTAGTTTTATGGTGTGGTTAAGTTGGTCTTAGACAATGACATGAGGCAATCCTATTCTGAGTAAAAGTGCCACAAAAAGCTCCTAAGATTTTATTAGGATGAACTCTTTCAAAAACTTTGTTTCCAAAAGATTTAAATTCTATCCCATATGGAGGGTGACAGATCCATCTGATGATCTCAGCTTACTAACCTGGGATAGTTGGGGTAAGAAACACCTTGAGTTTGGGCACTGAAAGCTTAAAACCTCTGGATGACAATGCTTGGCTTCCACAGTTACAATTACAATGAAAGATATATAAACTCAACTGTCTCTGACCAAACCATGGACTCCTTTTCCTATATTCTTTTGCTATTTAGGGCCTACTTGTCTAGGCCATAGGCAACATCTCCTCCTATATTCATGCTAAACTAACTAAAGTGGGTTTTTTAAGGAAATGGTGTGACAGTGCATATTTAACCTGTCATATGTGTGTATCCTACAGGGACTTGTGCCTGATGGGGAATGGGCTCACCTTCCCATGGGGCTGAGCTAACCTTGAGCAGAAAGGAACCATGTTGTCTGCCCCCTTCTTTGCTGGTGACCTCATCAAAACAGAAGGAGCCATGCCAGTCATAACTTGGGAATCTTTTTTGCTAATGGATTCATAAAATGTAAGTGACATGTGACTTCTGGATTACTGTGGCATAAAACAAAATGGAGATATCCATAAACACACAATGAATATAGACTAGAAAATGGTGGAAATCTCATGGTCTGTCCCAGGTAAGCAAGGCCTGTTCATCACCATGTGAGCAAGGGCTCCTCAGTTCACTTGGACTTGCAACACCCTCCCCTGTCACTGTGACTAGGCCTGTGGTTGGGGAAGAGCCAGATGAATAACCACCATAAACAATGGGCTGCTGTGGCTATTTCTGTCCTTGCCAGGCCCACGAACATATAAAGAGACATTATCTACTTGGAACAAATGCTGTCTGCTTAGAACACAAGAGAAGTGAGACTCCAACATTCCAGGGCTCCTAAACTTTCTTCTCAGGCTGCTGAGAAAAGGATGCCCTGATGAGGGGACAGAAGACATCCTGAGACCCAGAGTTACCACATGCTGGTGCCATACACCCTGAAGTTCTGGAGCTTCAGGAAAGACTATGGACATTGGCCTGGGCCAATCCCGTCTCCCTTCACTTACTGGGTTTCCCGCCATACCCCAATGACCACTCTCAACTTGGATGAATTGAAATCATGAATCTCCTGCCTCCACTTTCTAAGTGGTATGATTATAGTCTTGTGCCACCATGCCTGGCTTAGGTGGCTTCTTTTCATTTAGTGAGTCATTAGAATGGGGGTGCAAGGATGATGAACAGTTAAACAAACATATTCAAGAACCACTTATCTCTGTGAGCCTGGGTTTCACTATCTGTAGTATAAGGGCAGAATTCTGCCCAGGTCCTTTGATTAAGTTATACAAGAGTCAATGATAAAGAAAGACAGTACTGCTCACAGTTGGAAGACAGTAAGACAGGAGGGCTGATGGGACCCTTCTTCTTTTACAGGAGTTAGGACCAGAGCCTGTGTCGTACCTACACTTAATCAGCCAGGCTCAGTTACTCTCCTCAATAAGTGAATTAAAAGAGCCAAATTAGTTCACTGTGATGTGTTATAATACAGGTGCTCTGCAGACAAGGTGGGTAAATCTCTCTGATGTTTTGGAAGAACCTAGTCTATTTAGTGAGTTCCAGGTCAGCAAGAGAGTCATAGGGAGACTGTTCTTTAAAATTTTTTAAAATGACAATAAAAAAGAAAAAAAAGCAAATTTATCATGAAAATCAGAAACATGGTATATATTCAGTATGACGAAATTTGGAACAGTGATGAAGATAGAAGTTAACTATTCTTGTCATCCTGTTTTGATAGAAAGCAAGAGGCATTACACAAGCAAGAAACCTAACCAAACCATACAATGAATTTCTACCCATCCTTTAAAGTCTCCCTCATTCTTAGCTTCTCTGTCTCCTGCAAGGCATTGTTCAGGTAGGGTGCAATATGGACTCTGTTTTTTCCCCAGAATGTTATAGTAAGAGAAATTTGTATTTAATTCAGTCCACTGTTTACCTAATTGTTAGCCAAAGGGAAACATAAATGTCTCTTTAGAATATCCTAACTATTGTCAGGCAGTCAGTTGAGAGGGATAAGATTACAGGCTGGGGACCACCACATGGGGGGATGCAGGGTGCTGTCAGTGGCAGCTACACTGTAGTTGCCAAGAATAAGGAAAGAGTGGAAGACCTGGAGGTGGCTAACCCACTACAGCTGTGTAGATATAGAGAGCACAGGAAGAGCCAGCTTGTCCTCAGGTACACCCTGATCATTGCCCTCTGGCTCTCACATTCAAAACTCCATCCCTAACAGTTCACCCATAATCTCTTTGTAAATGCCTGATTGCATTTATAGTGACTTCTGTTTAAGTCTCAGGATCTCCTGGTAATCTGGATTTCATCTGGAGTCACCATCACTCAGGGACACTAATTGAAGCTTTTGAAGACATTAAGGAAACAGAATATGATGCCAGTCAGACAAGTTGGTTTTCATGCCTCCAAGTTCCTTTTCTCTCCTTACAGGAAGCTTAAACTCCAGCAGGTATACACAGAGGCAAGACTCATACACCTAAATTACTTTAAATTCTTTTAAAAATAATATATACATGAAGAAAACCTTTTTAACAATCTGGGATCCCAAATATATCTGTCTTTTCACTATTTGCATATCTGGTGCCCTAGGAGGCCATATGAGGCATCAGATTTCCTGGAACTGGAATTACAGGTACTTCTGAGCTACCTGATATAGGTGCTAGGAACCAAATAGGGGTGCCCAACAGGAGCAATACTACTGAGTAAACTCTTCAGCTCCGCAATATGACATTAAAATGCATAAGATAAAAATGCTTCATTACTCCTTCTGTCTCCTATCACTTGAAAATGATGAAAGTCCCCACTAGATGGTTGTCAAAGGATTTCAGTCAGATATTAGGAAATTTTCCATAATTTTAGATATGCATTTCCTTTTTGTATTCTTTTAAGACAGCCATGGCTGCCCTGGAACTCATTATGTGGACCAACCTGACCTCAAATTCAGAGAAATTGGCCTGCCACTGTCTCCCAAGTGCTAGGGTTATGGGGATGCACCTCTAATACAAGCTGAGATATGTTTTTACATGGCCTATCTTTGAATCAGAGAATTAACAAGCGTTTACAAGGAACCAGGGATGTTTTGGTAAAGAGTAATACTTCTTGAAATTTTATAGTAATAAACTGGCAAATCATTCCATATGTTCTCAATAATAGGGTTATTTTCTTTGCTTTGTTAATTTCACCCAATTAAAAATGCTTAAGTATGTTTATATTTTTACCTGAGCCATATTGTGTATATGGCAATGAGAGGACAACTTTAAAGGTGTCTATTATCTACTTCTCCTATGTGAGTTTTAGAGATGAAATCCATAGTGCTGTTTGGCTACACATGAACTCAATGGCACTTAGTTGGCTTTAAAAATTATTCATGTATGTGCTGGTGTAGGAGTGTGCATATGCCACAACCCAAGTGAAGAAATAAAAGAAAAATTTCTAGGAGTATTATGGGTTTCTTAGAGATTGAATTTAGGTCATCAGGCTAAACAGCAACTCACTTTACCAACTGAGATAATTCTGTGGCATTCATTTGTGGTTCTGAGAAAGTGTTATGAAAAAATGTTTAGTCCTCAGAATAAACTAATACATTCCAAAAGAAAGTGATATGGGTATATTATTTTCAATTGCAAATAAGATTTTTTATTCAAATGGTCCTGTTTTCCACTATCCTTTGATGAAAGTATGTTTACAATTTGAAAAGAAAACAATATTTTAGTTATATGTTTCAACCAATCTTATTTAAGAATCAGAGATGTGCCTCAGTGGGAAATGTCTGTGGTTTGTGAGATTGACAACGTCATCTTGATCATCATATGAATAAGAAAAAAAAGGAGTCCTCACAAAGTTGTCTTCCAGTCTCTGATATGTGTCATGGTTAACAAAACTGTAATCATATCACACACACACACACACACACACACACACACACACACACACACACACACACACCAGAATTTGTTTTTAAACCAATTTCATTACCATTACATTATCTGGCATCTCTGGGTAATTTCCTTAGAATGTAGTATTTCGAGATGAAGTGTTAAATGCATAACTAATGGGGACATGAACACAAATAGAACGTCAAATACTATATACATATCCATAGTGATGACACACACACACACACACACACACACACACACTCACCAGAATTTTTTTTTAAATCAATTTCATTACCATTACATTATCTGGCATCTCTGGGTAATTTCCTTAGAATGTAGTATTTCGAGATGAAGTGTTAAATGCATAACTAATGGGGACATGAACACAAATAGAACGTCAAATACTATATACATATCCATAGTGATGACACACACACACACACACACACACACACACACTCACCAGAATTTTTTTTTAAATCAATTTCATTACCATTACATTATCTGGCATCTCTGGGTAATTTCCTTAGAATGTAGTATTTCAAGATGAAGTGTTAAATGCATAACTAATGGGGACATGAACACAAATAGAACGTCAAATACTATATACATATCCATAGTGATCAAGCGATGTTTTGAAATATACTGCTGATTGCTGATTATCCTACTTTATAACATCTCTACCAGATATATGAAAATGCAGCTTTGGATACATATGAGGTATTTAATGTTTCTTGTATTCTCTTCTATTAAGAATTTTAACATTAACATTGTTAAAACATGCTAATAAAACAGCATACATTATCTACCCTTGGACTTGTACTCAAGAGGGTGACACATAAGCATCAAGAGTTTAAATGTATCCCTGGCTAATTACTGACATTGAATGATAAATTTCAAAGGAATTTGTGAAAATATGAAAAAAAAAATGGGAAAACTCACCACCTTTTCATAGACACCCTTACTTGAATAGTGTGATCACACACTGCCTGATATTTAAATAAACAATAGACCACTTAGATGATGGGCATCCCATTCTATACACTGTAGCAGAAAAATACCTATTACTAAGTGAAAACACAACAGAAGATGAACAGAAGTCAAAGAAAGAATATAAGAACCATAAAGTACACTTCACTAAATGGATTTGCCACATGTATAGCACACTGTAGTATCTACCTCAAATGTTGCCAGATAGAAACCACAATGTAGTCATCTCCACAATCTGTCTTGAGTGAACATGGTAAATAATTTACTTCCTTCAAGGTTATGATGGAAAAGAGATGAAACAAATCTTTTCTTGAAACTGAAGATAACTGTGATGTCTCTAAAGTCCTTACCAAATTGTTTACCCCAATAGAGGTATGAATTATTTCCTATTTTCTGACATCAAGATCATATGTGAAGGCTTAAAAATGTGTACAGGGTGAGAGATATAGCCAAGCAGTTAAGAGAAGGTCATTCCCAGGACAAAGGTTGGGTTTTTGACAACTTCCTATAATTCCTGCTAAAAGGAGATCCAAGGATCTAAACTTTTGGGGAATCTCTATGCACATACCCACACAAAGACACACTGACATCACATAACTAAAATTTAAAAAAAATCTTTAAATAATCAGATTTTCACTCAAGAACATTTTTCTCTTGTAAGCATTTATTCCTGTAACTCAGTTGTTGAGGCATTAAAAGGCTTACTTACATTTTTCTTCATCATGAACTGATTCATGTAACAGAAAGCAAGCACATAGGCTTGAAGTCAGAGAAATCAATCTTTCTTAGTTGGTGGTATCATTTGGGAAGATATATATGTAATGCTCACCCTGCTGGAAAAAGTACCTCCCTGGGAGTGAGCATGAGAGTTCACATCCACACACCATTTCCAGTTCCCACTTTCACATTCATGCCAAAGGTGGAAGATGTGAGTTCAAAGCTTTCTGCTTTAGCTGCCATGTTTGACACTTGTTGCCATGCCACTTTCATGGTTATCCTGGATCCTTCTGGACCCAAAGGCCAACTTTTAGTAAGTTGACTTACTTAGACATAATGTTTTATCACAGCAACAGAAAAGGCACTAATACACACCCATTAAGTGTTAAACCTGGATGCCTTATTTCATGTAACTGAAGAGAATTGTAGAATAGAAAAGTGCTACCTCATCATTTTGTCCATATGAGTTTGATGGTGCAAACAAAATAAGAGGAACATCATAATGCTTGAACAGATAGGTGACACTTGTCAGGTATTTTGTCCAGAATAAACTTGTATAACTGAATGTAAGTCTGTTGGGTAAAGATCTTCCAAAACCTTTATGGCCAGATTTCCTTGAGTATTAATTTTCTCAGGCCCTCAAAGACTACTGTGAATTGAAAAAGCTTTAAGAAGCCAATTACACACTAAAAGTTTTACTCTTGTATAAAGACTAAATGAAGTGCAAAACTTTGCCACACTCACTACTTTTATAGGGTTTCTTTGCAGTATGAATTTTTCTTATGACTTCAAAGAGTGCTGATTCATGTAAAGGCTTTACCACATTGGTCATATTCATAGGGTTTATCTCCAAAATGTGTTCTCTTATGTATTTGAAGATGATTGTGTCATGAAAGGCTTTATCACATTGATTATATTTGAAGGGTTTCTCACTAGTATGAGTTCTTTTATGTATTTGGAGATTACTAGCACATCCAAAGTTTTATCACATTGATAACATTCATAACTCTAGTATGTGTTCTTTTATGTATATAGAAGATTATTTTGTGAAAAGTCTTTATTACTTGGATTACATTGGTAGGGTTTCTCTCCAGCATGTGTTCTTTCATATATGTGGAGATGATTGTGCTGTGAAAAGGCTTAATCATAGGATTTCTCTCCAGTATACGTTCTTTTATATATTCAAAGATGACCTTGATTTGCAAAGGTTTTACCACACTGATCACAATCATAACTTTCTCTCTAGTATGTATTCTTTTATGTAGTCTAAGATTATTGTGACATACAAAGGTATTACCATGTTGGTTTCATTCATAGGCTTTCTGTCAAGAATGTATTCTTTTATGTATTTGGAGATGACTGGCACATGCAAAGCCTTTATCACACTGATTACATTTATAGGGTTTCTCTTCAGAATGTGTTCTTTCATGCATTTGAAGATTACATTATTATGAAAAGGCTTTATCGCATTGATTCTATTTGTAGGGTTTCTCTCCAGTATGTCTTCTTTCATGTTTTTGGAGACGATTGTGTCGTGAAAAGGCTTTATCACATTGATTACATTTGTAGGGTTTCTCTCCAGTATGTGTTCTTTTATGTACTCTGAGATTACTGGCATATGTGAAGGCTTTATAACATTGATTACATTTGTAGGGTTTCTCTCCAGTATGTCTTCTTTCATGTACTCTGAGATTACTGGCATATGCAAAGGCTTTATCACATTGATTACATTTGTAGGGTTTCTCTCCAGTATGTGTTCTTTCATGTATTTGGAGATTTTTGGCACATGCAAAGTCTTTATCACATTGATTACATTTGTAGGGTTTCTCTCCAGTATGTGTTCTTTTATGTACTCTGAGATTACTGGCATATGCAAAGGCTTTATCACATTGATTACATTTGTAGGGTTTCTCTCCAGTATGTGTTCTTTTATGAATTTGGAGACTACTCACACATACAAAGGCTTTACCACATTGATTACATTCATATGGTTTCTCTCCAGTATGTGTTCTTTCATGTATTTGGAGATTATTGGCACATGCAAAGTCTTTATCACATTGATTACATTTGTAGGGTTTCTCTCCAGTATGTGTTCTTTCATGCATTTGAAGATTACTGTATTGTGAAAAGGCTTTACCACATTGATTACATTTGTAGGGTTTCTCTCCAGTATGTGTTCTTTCATGTCTTTGGAGATGACTATGTTGATAAAAGGCTTTATCACATTGACTACATTTGTAAGGTTTCTCTCCAGAATGTGTCCTTTTATGTATTCGGAGATATCTGTATTGTGAAAAGGCTTTATCACATTGATTACATTTGTAGGATTTCTCTCCAGAATGTGTCCTTTTATGTATTGGGAGAGTTTTGAGTTCTGAATAGGCTTTATCACATTGATTACATTTGTAGGGTTTCTCACCAGTATGTGTTCTTTCATATATTTGGAGATTACTGGCACATCCAAAGTCTGTAGCACATTGATTACATTTGTAGGCTTTCTCTCCAGAATGTGTTCTTCCATGAATTTGAAGATTACTGTGTTGTGAAAAAGCTTTATCACATTGATTACATTTGTAGGGTTTCTTTCCAGCATGTGCTATTTTATGTACTCTGAGATTACTGGCATATTTAAAGGCTTTACCACATTGATTACATTCATATGGTTTCTCTCCAGTATGTGTTCTTTTATGTATTTGGAGATGACCATGACTTGTGAAGGCTTTACCATACTGATTACTTTCATTGGTTTTCATTCCAGCACATGTTCCTTTAAGTATTTGGAGAATACTGTTGTGTGCAACGGCTTCACCATACTGAATACAGTCATGGGGTTTCTCTTCAGTATGAAAATTT